ATAGAATAGAATAGAATAGAATAGAATAGAATAGAATAGAATAGAATTCTTTATTGGCCAAGTGTGATTGGACACACAAGGAATTTGTCTTGGTGTAAATGCTCTCAGTGTACATAAAAGAAAAGATAGATTCGTCAAGAGTCAAGAATCATCAGGTGCAACACTTAATGGTAGTCACAGGGTACAATAAGCAATCAAATCATACTAGGAAACAGTCCATATAAATTGTAAGGATACAAGCGACAAAGTTACAGTCATACAGTCACAAGAGAGAGGGGATGGGTGATAGGAACGATGAGATTAATAGTAATAGTAGTGCAGACTTTGTAAATAGTTGGATAGTGTTGAGGGAATTTGTTTAGTAGAGTGATGGCGTTTGGGAAAAAACTGTCCTTGTGTCTAGTTGTTTGGGTGTGCAGTGGTCTGTAGAATTCAAAAGGGTGAGCTTAGATTTCTTGTGGGCACGAAGGGACTCGTGACTTATGATGCCTTTGACTCCTCCCACGGGCTCATCCTGGTCATCTCCCACAGTACGGGACTGCTGAACACCTTACCAGTTGCAGAACAGAACACCTTACCAGAACACCTTACCCGTTGCAGGAAAACTACCAGGTAACCATGGAAATCTCCTTTTCTATTGGCCCTTTTCCTTGCCCACTCACCTCCTGTGCAGAATTCAACAGTCTCACTCCATCCAGAGACGAGGTACTCTCCATCACTTTGCTTCACTGCAGTCTGCACGGCCACACTGTACTCTGTCCTGGGACTCAGAAACCAGTGACCCCTCACTGTCATTGGCAGGGCCACTGCCTTAGCTACCAGCTTGGTAGGGACATCCTGCAGAAAAAAAAAGAGGCAAATCTTGTCAGGAAGCCTACTATATTTGGGCCGTGGACTTTGCTGGGCCAAGGCTGTTAGAACATCGCCAGATCATTGACAAAGAAGGGGAAGAGGTTCTAGAACAATGATAGCTAACCTGTGATGATCCGGGGCGTAGCACAAAGGCAACACAGTCAAATAAGCAATGAGTCACTTTATTATCTCCAACTTTGCCCCCAATGTCCAGGCTACTTCAGCTGGAGAAAAACTCTCCCAGGAACAGCCTTTAACTGTAGAAAATTCAGTTCAAAACAAGGTACACACAAACTGTAACTAAAAATCCAGAAAAACTAAGCTGAAGTAATTAACTTGACAGGGCAAGAAAAGGAATTTCAGACTTGAAAGCACAGCAAAACTCACACAGTTGGGAAGATGCCAGGAACTCAGATAAGCCACGACAATACCTGATAAATTCACGTTTGCTCCCAACAACTTGCTGTGTGCAGCTTCCTCTTTTCTACACTGTGTTCATTAGCTGGGCTAATGAAGGGAATCAGGACCCTTTCCTCCCCAGTAAGTCACACAACCCACGTTGCTCCCTTCTCCATTCCTCCCTGCATGCCCTAGGATGAAGAGGGGGTAGGCCTGGGTCTTCCTCTGAATTCCCTCTGCCTTGTTCTTCCTCTCCCCTGCTCTGCCCAGCCGGACTTTGCCCTTCCCCAGTTTCTTCCACGGCCAACGGAGCCACACTCCCACTCCCTGTCAGCTGTTTGGCTTCTTCCTCCGAGTCAGATTCCGACAGGGGCATGACATAACCTTTTTGGCACTGAGTGCCCAAAGCGCACGCATGCGCGCACATTCCCAAAATGCAATACACACATTTTCCCTGTGCATGCATGCATGTTCCCCATGCATGCGCCCCACCTCCAATGCATACACTTGCATCCCCTGTGCATGTGCACATGTCTCCCCCACATGTGCCCCCCACATGCTCCCTGGCCCCCATTCATGCATAGCCAACTCAAAGACCACCTGACATGCACACATGTGTGGCACAGCTAAGGTGGAGCGACGGCTCACACATGCCATAGGTTTACCATCACCGTTCTAAAATCTAGAGAAACCATACGTGGATATCTATGACAAGCCACAACAACATCGCCAGTGTCCTGATACCATCATGTTGTGACCAGAATGAAATAACTCACATCATGTACCATTGTACAATCTAACATTCAGTCGCTCCCTTTTTGTCAGGGGTGAAAGATCAGATCTACACAGGAAGGTCCAATTAAACTGATTTATTGCTACTCTTGCCTATGCACGGGAATGTTCTCAATTCACGGTTAGCACCTGCTAGGAGTTAGATAAGGATCAACATAATTTAATGGAGATTGGATTTAGTCCACTTGTGGCTTCGTAGGGATTCTAGGCCGATCCCTTTTTTTAACTCCACCCCAAGGTTCTGCCATTCCTTTTCTTCCCTCTTTACTCCAAGCCAGATGTCTGTGGAACTGAAGCACATTAGAAGGATAGTGGAATGGATGAAATTGGAAGTACGGTGAAATTGGGAGCAGAGCATCTTACTATCCCAAACATTAAAAATGCTATGCTGAACCTTTAGGACCGTGAAACCAAAGGAAACAGGCACTATTTGATTTCAGTTCTAGATTGTTCATAATGGAATCATTCCATTTCCTTTCTCCATCTGTATCTCTCTCAAGGAAACCCTGTACAATGCAAGCGGCCAGATATTAGAGCATTCCAAAACACGTTATTTGGAGCAGTCTTAGTTAAGGCAGAACTGTGGTTAGACCTGATAGGTCTCCTTGGCATCCGATAGGACAGTATCTCAAAAGTGCTTTTTTTTCTTCAAAAGGCAACTGGATTGTTGTTTTTTTCTCTTGAGGAAGAAGAAGAAAATGTTTCACTCCTCATCCAAGAAGCTTCATAAGTTCTGATGGCAGGGGGATGGAAGGATAAGACTGACAGTTGAGGATTGGATGGAGGATGGGTTCTGATAGGATGGAAGGGGAGGATTGTATTTCTTTGCAGTCATCTGGTTGTTAGCACTCTCCTTGAGAGCTCTTGAGGCCACTTAGGGGATTTATCTGTGCCCATGGAGTCACCAGAATCAGGGTGCAATTGATTGTGGAACCTTTTGAGAACTGCTGAATAGCAATAGCACTTAGACTTATATACCACTTCACTGTGCACTCTCTAAGAAGTTTACAGAGTCAGCCTACTGCCCCCAACAATCTGGGTCCTCATTTCACCAACCTCGGAAGAATGGAAGGCTGAGTCAACCTTGAGTTGGTCAGGACTGAACTGCTGGCAGTGGGCAGCCTGCAATACTGCATTCTAACCACTGGGAAAAGAAGGAAGGAAGGAAGGAAGGAAGGAAGGAAGGAAGGAAGGAAGGAAGGAAGGAAGGAAGGAAGGAAGGACTTAGACTTATATACTACTTCACAGTCTTTTACAGCCCTCTCTAAGCGGTTTACAGAGTCAGCCTATTGCCCCCAACAATCTGGGTCCTCATTTTACTCACCTTGGAAAGACAGAAGGCTATGTCAACCTTGAGCCTGGTGAGAACCAAACTGCCAAATTGCAGGCAGCCAGCAGGCAGCAGAAGTAGCCTGCAGTACCGCACACTCACCACTGCGCACTGAAAGGACTGTGTTATAGAATGGAAATAGGTGGCGTTTTATTCCTCCTCGTCTGTTGAGGGAGGGGTATTCAATTCCAAACATAAATGTATTTTTGAATCCCTTATTCTTTGAAAAAAACACACACCATCTTTTTTGGGGGGGCGGGGGAGAGCACCTTTGAGACAACTACGACCTGGATCACTGATAATCTCCACAAACTCCAGGACAGTGTTTATCAACCTTGGCAACTTTATGATGTGTGGACTTCAACTCCTAGAATTACCCAGCCACACATCTTAAAAGTTGTGAAGATTGAGGGAACTTGACAGTGACACCTTAAATAGCACTTTCCAACCTCTTGTGGTTTACATCCCTTCTATCACTTTGTTGAGTGACCTGGATCCCATGATAGAAACAAAAATGCCACTTTTTCCAAGGATACCTGTTTGTTAATAGCCTTTCTGTGACCTTTACAATGTACTATAAAATCTCCAGATATAAAGTTTTATCACTTACCTTGTGTGCCCTCATCCCCTAGAGAACTGACGATGCCGGTGTCAGGGTTCCAGGTAATACACCCATAGCTGCCTACTTCCAGCTACCTGTAGGAATGTCCTTGGTTCTCAGGGGAAACCATTTTGTTTTGGCTACAAAACCCCAGCTATCTCTATTCGCCCCCGCCATCCCTCAGCACCTGTCATGCCCCTGACAGAGTCTGAATCCGAGGAAGAAGATGAACAGCTGACAGGGAGTGGGAGTGTGGCTCCGTTGGCTGTGAAGGAGGCTGGGGAAGGGCAAAGTCCAGAGGAGGGGAGAGATAGAACAAGGGAGAGGGAGTTCAGAGGAAGACCCAGGCCCATCCCTTCTTCATCCTAGGACACGCAGAGAGGAATGGAGAAGACAGCAATGTGGGTTGCGTGGCTTATGGGGGAGTTGGTGCAAACTGTCCAAACATATTTTATACCGTAGAATTTGAGTTCCCGATGTATACCCAGTGAATAAACATAGTTTTAGGGACCCAACCAGCTTTCCTATCTTACTTTACCCCATTCTTACAATTCAATGAAATATCCTTTCCCCCCGAAAAGAACAATAAGCATCCAGATACTGGAGAAAGTAAGTTCTCCCACTCTGTTTTGTGACTAACAACTATATTATGTAAGCCTTTGTAAATATTGAAGCAGCTTTTACCAACATGCCGTACCTTTCCATTATTTTTTTTGCTCCCAGACAAATTGTTCCATTAAAGAAGAAAAAAAACACCTTCCATTTGAAGTATCCAACAGTCAAGAGTGTTGCAAAAGGTTAGTCATACGAAGGATACTTAAAAATTAGTTGTTTGAAAGTATATTCCATTTAGTAGGAAGTTGACTCATAAGGCAAGTTCCATTACATTCAGCTCAACCTGAGCATCTCCTAAATTTCTCTAAAAGCAAAGTTTGCTTTTAAGGTTATATGGACGTGGGACGAGTGTCCTGACATCTTCCTCTTTTGGGGTGAAACAGAAAGAAAAACATCCTGTTTAGGTTGGTCTGAAAACACTTTATTATATTGCATCCTTTTTAGTAGATGATTTTGACTGGTTAAGTGTCTTCACTCATCTTCTCTAAACTGTTACTACAATATTCAGTAAGGTACACATCTAAGGGAACTAGATAAATTAGATATTGCTCTCTTACATTAACAAAAATGTGTGTAGTTATTTGGTGGTACAAATATTTAATTTAAAAAGATTTCTCAAAATTTTTTGGAGATGCTGTTTGAGCCTCTGCCCTGGTCCCTTCTTCACTGCACTGATAAAACCGCCTCTCTCACATGATGTAAATACAGGTAGTCCTCAACTTATGACCACAATTGAGCCCAACGTTTATTTTCCTGAGTGAGACATTTGTTAAGTAAGTTTTGCTCCAGTTTGCAATTTCTCTTCCCACATTTGACTCAGCCTTCCATCCTTCCGAGGTGGGTAAAATGAGGGCCCAGATTGTTGGAGGAAATAGGCTGACTCCGCTTAGAGAGGGCTGCAAAGCACTGTGAAGCGGTATATAAGCCAAAGTGCTATTACAAAGGAAGGAAGGAAGGACAGCGATCAAGCTGTCTTGGTGCAGTATTTAGAGTGCCGTATTGCAGACTAACTCTGCCCACAGCCAGGAAGTTCAGTCCTGACCAGCTCAAGGTTGACTCAGCCTTCCATCCTTCTGAGGTGGGTAAAAATGAGGACCCAGATTATTGGGGGCAAGAGGCTGACTCTGTAAACTGCTTAGAGAGGGCTGGAAAGCACTGTGAAGCGGTATATAAGTCTTAAGTGCTATTGCTGTTGCTATTTGTGAAGTGAATCACTGCAAGTTGTTAAATTAGTAACCTGGTTGTTAAGTGAATCTGGCTTTCCTATTGACTTTGTCAGAAGGTCGCAAAAGAGGATCATGTGACCCGGGACATGACAAATCATCGTAAATTTGAGTCAGTTGTCAAGCATCTAAATGTAAATTATGGAACCATGGGGATGTTGCAATGGTCGTTAAGTGTGAAAAAATGGTCATAAGTCACTTTTTTCACCGTTGAAAAAAGTTACAAGCACCGTTGCAACTTTGAGCAGTCACAAAATTAACTGTTGTAAGTTGAGGGCTACCTGTAGAACATGACTGATTTTGTTTTGAGAATTGTTAGCAGGGACTTTTCTTTGACTTACTCACAGACTGAAAGCAGCCAAGAAATTAAGAGAATTGGAGGATTACCACACTGAGTAAGTGGGCTTTGTGACTGCTGAGCACAACAACATTTATTGCCATCAATTATTTTTAATGAATAAGATAACATATTCCCATAAAATAACGGAAATATTTGTATGGTTTTATATTTTCCACATACTCTTCAACCACCAGTTGGGATTAGGTTAGAAAATAAGTGATAAGGTTCATGTTTTATTGTGTCCTATTAGAAGATATCATGAAGATTTGACATCATATGAGAGGGCATCATATGATTCAGTGATTTGTTCAAATCGTTAACTTCCAAATGCCCATCCCCCAATTCTTACTGAGGCATTATTTAAATCTCACCTGTTCCCAAGATCAAACCTGAATCCCATAAATTCTGCTGGAGAGGTAAACTTCTATGTGCAAAAGTTTAAATGCACATCCAAATGAAAGAAAGAAAAATAAAATTCCTACAAAAAGGTTAACTAGAGCATCAAAGGGAAATGTTCTGCTTAGTTAGTTTACTTTGTCATTGCACCTCGTAGAATGAAATTAAGTGCTTTCTTCAGTGTACGTTATACATAAAAAATAAATAAAAAACATTCTATACAATTCTTCACATTCTATACAATTGAATTGAAAACCCCTGATATTGCATTAATATTATACTATACAGTAGAATTCTATAGAGTTACTGCCCTGGGATAGAAGCTGTTTTCCAACCTGTTTGTCCTTGTTTTTATTATCCTGTACCGTCTGCCAGATGGTAATAGTTTAAAAAAAAAAGGGTGCCCAGGATGAGATGGATCTTTGAGAATGTTTTGAACTTTCTTAAGGCAGTGGGAGCTATAAAGCTCTTCCAAAGAGGGGAGAGGGCAACCAATGATCTTCTGGGCAATGATGTGAATCCTCTGGAGCGCTGTCCTATCTGCCCCTGTACAATTGGCAAACCCTAAAGAGGTGGAGTAAGTTAAGATACTCTCTGTGGTGCAACGGTAGAAGGTCACCAGCAGTTTTTCATTCAGTTGTTTCCTGAGAAGTCTCAGGTAGTAGAATCTCTGCGGGGCCCTTTTGACCAATACTGCAATGTGAGTGCCCCAGGTCAGTTCCTCTTTTACGACGTCTTCTAAATGTATGTTTTTTAAGGGCAGCATAAGTGTACCACGTCCATTTATGCATACAGGTGCACATTCCAAGGGCAGGTTGATCACTTCAGGAAAAAGTAGTCTCTACCGTGATTTGTTTTGTTTTTTTAAAAAAATGAAGTTTTCTGAAGTGGGTGAGCTAATCAGACACGAGGAGTAACACTTGAGGGAACATTGCTTTAAGAGAGAACAAGGCCTCCCCAATGGGTTTTAATATTCCTCTGCAGCATTGTTTCTGTGGCAACAGCACATACCAAAGGAGCCCAGGGGAAAACAAAAAGTGGAGGAAACCAGCTAACTGCAGGAAGGGGGGAAACTAGTTAAATGCAAAACAGCATTTCCATAGCAACTAACCCCATTAAGACGCATCAAAATTAGTGACTCCATTTCGAAGGGAGAAGAAGATGTGAGCAACGTGGTTCAGAATGAGCCTATCTGACTGATCCTGTGGCTACATTTCGAAATTGCTTTTACAGGACTTCCTCAACGTAACGGCCATCATTGGGATGAGAATTTCCGTTGCTAAACAAGGTGGCGGTAAAGCAACCATTTTGTCAGGGTTGGAAGTGAAAGGACTGCAGTTGTTAAGTGAAACACAGAGTCATTAAGCAAAGCTGCCTTCCCCCCTTGACTTGGCTCAAGTCACAAATGGTGATCACCTGATCCCAGAATGTTTCGACTATCATCAATACATCCCAGTTGCCAAGTATTCAAATTTTGATCACTTTTTTTGAGTGCTGTTATGCCCCCGTCGGAGTCTGAATCCGAGGAGGAAGATGAACAGCTGACAGGGAATGGGAGTGTGGCTCCATTGGCTGTGGAGGAAACTGGGGAAGGGCAAAGTCCAGCCGAGGTAGAACAAGGGAGTGGGAGTTCAGAGGAAGACCCAGGCCTACCCCCTCTTCATCCTAGGGCACGCAGGGAGGAACGGAGAAGGGAGCAACATGGGTTGCATGGCTTGCAGGGGAGGAAAGGGCCCTGATTCCCTTCATTAGCCACAGCTGGGAAGGGAGTTTAAAAGAAATGCATGCTGAGTGCAAAAGCTGCTGGGAGCAAATGTGAGTTTATCTTGTGTTGACTTTGGTTATGTGTGTTCCTGGCATCTTCCCAACCGTGTTGAGTTATTGCTGTGCCTTCACATCTGGAATTCTTGCTCCTGTCCTGCTGGACTAATTACCTCCTTTTGCCTTGACTGGATTTATAGTTAGAGTTTTTGTTGACCACATTTTAGACTTGATTCTCTGCAACCAAAGGCTGTTCCTGGGAGAATTTTTCTCCAGCCAGAAGGTAACCAGGACATTGGGGGAAAAGTTGGAGCTAATAAAGGGACTCTTATTGATTATCTGACTGTGTTGCCTTTGTGCCACGGGTAATCACAAGTCCTTTTATAAGTTTGAAGAGTTACTAAATGAATAGCGTTAAGTCGAGGGCTACCTTTATAATTATGCATCCTTGTTCAGGATCGGAGAAAGTTGAGATTTCCTTTCCCAGCATGTACTGTAACCAAAGTTAGCCTCCAGGATCAGTCAACTTCAGTCGGGGAAAGGAATTTTATTTTCTTTTATGCATGAGACCAATCGGGGTAAGAGATCTAAGAATTCCGAAATGATGTACCACTGTAATTCCTAACACCGTAGGCTTTGGGAAATGTAGTTCAGGTGAAAGATTGGATCTTATCATAGTTGAACTGAATGAACCATTCCAGAAATCAAGTACAGCCTTGACCACGAGAATTTCAAGTGGAAGTTTCCAATATGATCTTGTTATCTCTCCACCTATGGTTTTTTTTTTTAATAGTTGCTGGTCAATTTCCTGAGAATATTGTGAACTACGAATGATATTTATACCAGATTTATTTTCAAGCAACCTGTGCAATACAAATGTGGCCTTCCAATTGCCATCAGCCCTAATGATGAGAAAATTCCATCTCATAAAACTCTAGTTTGGTTTAGCAACTACAATTCCCATAGTTCTTTGGGCCGGAAGAATCGTTAATAACCCACCTTAAGGACATAGTACAGACATGCTCATGGGGGTTTCCAAAGGGGAATTAGGTTATATGGTTTACTCTTCATCCGAACTATTCAGATGTTTGGGTGTATAATTGAAAGGCTTTTCAGAACAGTAAGCACATAAATCACAGTAATAAATAAGCTTTTAGCATCCCTGGAGTAGCCATGTTGGTTAGATAGGAAGGCAGCTATCATTTGTACGGAGCTGTGAAGGAAAAGGTTGCGTGCATGTGGGGCTGAAAATGCAACAACAACAATTTTAGGAAAATGAGGACAGCTTTGTCGACCCGAGCTGTAATCCAACATAGACCAAGTTGGAAGGCTCCTAACTGGTGGGGACTTCTAAGAAGAACTTCCACCAGCATGATCCAACAGGAGTAAAAAAAAAATAGTTATGAAGCAAAGGAATGATCAAGGAGAGACAAGATGTTGTAATGATTTCTACCCTACTCCGCACACCAACATTTACACCAGCGATGTAGTGGCTCACCCGGTGTTTGAACTTGTTGGAGCTTTTATTTTCCTTCTTGTTCAAATCGATGAAGTAGTGGGTAACCCTATCCAGGTCTCCAACATCCATGGACCAAGAAATTCGGAAGGAGTCACAGGTGATATTGTTGATCTCGATGCTGTGCGGGGTAGACAACAGCTCCATGATCCGACCAATTTGGCTCCTACAATTGAGACAGTGAAGAGAGGGGTTAAGTTTGCAGCAACTCTGAATGTCGAAGTCCACAAGTCTTAAAAGTTGCTAAGGTTGGAGACCCCTGGTCTAAACCAACCTGTCAGCATTCTGAGTAACACATCCAAAGCAATCAGAGCTCCAAGGAAGGAACGTTCTTCAAGGAACATGTTTATTGGACACATCATATCGGCACAGCTAGTGAAAGCCAACTCTAAAAATTTCCCATGATTACCACGTAATTGAAAGAGCAAAAGTTTCCCTGCCCAGGTGTCACAGGTCACATTGTCCAATCAAAGCAGGTGGTGGGCTCCCTCCCTCACTTCTGCCCCTCCTCCAACTGCCACCTACTGGGATGTCTTTGATTCCCATGGAAAAGCTCTTTATGAGACCTTCTAGCTGTTGCCCCTCATCTTCTCCCCATAAAAAGGTAAAGGTTCCCCTCGCACCTACGTGCTAATCATTTCCGGCTCTAGGGGGTGGTGCTCCTCTCCCTTTCAAAGCCGAAGAGCCAGCACTGTCCGAAGACGTCTCCATGGTCATGTGGCTGGCACGACTAAACGCCTTTGAAGGCGCACGGAACACTGTTACCTTCCCACCAAAGGGGTCCCTATTTTTCTACTTGCATTTTTTGCATGCTTTCGAACTGCTAGGCTGGCAGAGGCTGGGACAAGTCACAGGACCTCACCCCGTTACATGGCGCTAGGGATTTGAACCACTGAACTGCCAACCTTTCTGATCAACAAGCTCAGCGTCTTAGCTACTGAGCCACCGTGTCCCTTCCTCTCCCCATAGTCCGTGTCAACTATGAAGTTGGCCTCAGACAGGTTCGATTCAGAGTTGACACATCCATTTTGACAAGTGGATGCTGAAGATTCGCGCATAAATATGTGTGGAAACAGTATTCCTGTCGCCAATGAATTTTTTTTCCCCTCTTTCTCATTCTTGGGGAGACTCTGAAATCAAAGGGATGGGGAGAGGGCAGTCAGCATGCAGTCCTCTTAACTCATGTCTCCACTAAAATAAAGAAAGCAACTTCCTTCTAATACTTTTCTCCTTCCTTCCGTCCTTCCTTCCTTCCTTCCTTCCTTCCCAATCTGTTTTCTTTTGGGGTTACATCAGTGGTGGTATACCACTGGTTCGGACCGGTTTGGCCATACAGGTAGGAAAAAAAACCCTCTAGTGATCAGCTGAGAGGAGGGGAAAAAAAACTGAGAGGAAAAAGAAGAGACAAGCGCAGGATTAGCACCCCCCACCTGCCCTGCGGTTGTCTCTTCTTTATTCTCTCAGCTGATTGGCGCTGCAGGCCTCAGCTGGTGTTTGGAAAACCCTCTCTCTCTCTGCGTTAGGTTCACGTAAGTTACGTGTGCGCAAGCATGCAATCACCAAACTGGTAGCGCAAAGATCTTCAAACTTGGTAAGTTTTAAGACTTGTGGACTTCAACTCCCAGAATCCCTGAGCTAACTTGACTGGACAAGGAATTCTGGGAGTGGAAGTCCACAAGTCTTAAAACTTACCAAGTTTGAAGAGCCCTGCGGTAGTGGAACAAATAGGATTCCAATGCGGGGTTATATGCTTTCCGTTGGAAGTTATTGCATGGAAGAGTTAACGGCTAAGAAGTTAAGTTCGAAAAGACAGGAGCTCGGCACATTCAGTTCTTGTAGGCTAAAGTGATGGGGAGATAGGAGAGGCATGAAAACACAACTGCCTATAATTCCTTCCCAATCTCCCCTGGAGTTCAGCCACCGCTTCTGAAGGCATTCAAATTTAATCCAACAAGCCAGCTTTGCAATGATACCAGTCCATAACTGCTTTCTGTTTGTTCCTGGGATGAATTAATGCATTCTGGGACCAGGAGTCATCTGAAAAACAGTCACCACCCCCATACTTTGACAGAGCAGATGCTTTGAGAAGCACTGACAGCAAACGGAGGCTTGACAGGAAGAAGAATATTTTCCGTTTGAAACCTAGGCAAAATCATCAAGAGATGCTTTGCAGCTAAGGATGTAAAACATGTGAAGTAAGCTACAGAATCCTACCTAGTTTTCTGTGAAGGCTGAATTAACCGGGCTTTGTAACGTTCTTAGGCAAGCAACATGGGGACTGTTCCTGTCACCTAGATTGCAATTTGACGGCTGCAAAACCACCAAAAATAATATCATTTTGCCAGATGCCACAGCTTTGGTTAAAAATATTTTTTCACATGTTGTTCTGACCCAAACCTTGTTCCAAATAAACAAACACCCAAACAGAGATAAAAGCAAAACCTTTTAATGCTTCTCTGCAAATTCCATTAATTCACAGTTAAAAGGCTATTAAAACGAATTGTCTCTGATAAGAACGAGCCTTGCCAAGGTTGTGCAAGGCTGCCAAAAGCACTAGATTAAGTTGCCAGGAAATATTCCAAACAAAAAGTCTTCAAACACAAACCAAAATAGTCCGAACTTCCACAAGGCTTGAAGTGCAAAAACTTCTTTGCTTCCTGCAAAGAACTCCGGGTTCTCAGCTGGCTTTTATCTCTTAAGGGAGGGGCCATTACCTTGCAGCCTTACTCCCGAGTCACCCGTGCTGCTGCAGCTGCTCTTTCCTTCAAGCAGCCCTGCACACACATGTACTGGGCACAGGCTCCTCAGGGACCTCTTCATCACTGCTGCCAGCCTCCACAATCCCCAAAGGCAGCACTCCCCTCCCTGATGGTCCTGGCCCCATCCCTGCATCACACGCAGGCCCCTCATCTGAATCCTCACTCTCTGAAATCTCAGCCATCCGCACCTGCTGTCAGCGAACCACAACATATGTATATTGCACATATGAAAGCTGTAGTCAACATGCAGATAACATTTATACGACTGGGTGGAATGAATCTCCCTTATGCATATTGTATGGGAGTGAAACAATAAAAGCGAAGAGCTTATTTGGAAGTTTGAATGCCTGCCACAAAAGGTCTATGGAAGGGAATAAATTTGATGTATTTGCACTTTCTATATGTCCAGATCCAACATAAAGATCTAATACCCACCAAAGCTTTGTATGATATAAAACATCATCATATAATATTTTGACTTACAATACTGATGGCAAGATGGTTAACACTGAAAAGCTGATTGTCAGTAACTAACCGTACTAAAACATAACTGTTGATACTTTGAATTTACTAAACTTAGATGACCGGCATCTAAGGGTGAAGAAAGTGAGATACTAATACACTCTATAAAGCTTTAGTAAGACCACACCTAGAATCCTGCATCCAGTTTTGGTCACCACACTATAAAAAAGATGTTGAGACTCTAGAAAGAGTTCAGAGAAGAGCAACCAGGATGATTAGGGGACTGGAGGCTGAAACATTCAATGAACGGTTGCAGGAACTGGGCCTGGCTAGTTTAGAGAAGAGAAGGACCAGGGGAGACAGGATAGCGGTCTTCCAATATTTGAGGGGCTGCCACTGAGAGGAGGAAGGGGTCAAGCTATTCTCCAAGGCACCTGAAGGCCAGACAAGGAACAATGGATGGAAACTGAACAAGGAAAGATTCAACCTAGAAACAAGGAATTTTCTGACTGAGGATAATCCACCCATGGAACAGAAGCTGCCTTCGGAAGTTGTGGGACCTTCATCACTGGAAGCTTTCAAGAAAAGACTGGACTGCCATCTGCCAGAAATGGTGTAGGATCTCCTGTTTGGGTGGGTGGGGGGTTGGACTAGATGTCCTACCAGGTTCCTTCCAACTCTGTCAATCTGGTAAATCAGAATGGTAACAATGATTTCTCAAAATTCCTCCTCTGCTTTATGCGCTACAGCACATAAAGGCCAACCTTGGCAACGCTAAGACCTGTGTGGACCCCCAGAATTAACCATCCCATCATTCTTTCACTCGTTGTGTCTCCACTATCTGAATTCAAAGGAGCTACTCAGTCAGGCCCTAGCTCTACATCTGAACACAATATGGAAAAAATAAAAAGGCTATTTATAGAAATCCTTGTGATTGCTACTCCTGCTGTTGGTAAGAAGCCCAACAAGGAGGAAGGTTGTTACTTCTCTCAAGTTTCTAGAAGTGAATAGATGTATAGATGGTGGGGAAAGGAAATGATTTTAGATTCAGCAGATACAAGGGGCTCGTGGAGCCAAAAATGGTTTCCAACTTGGTCTAAAAAAACTGCTCTAGCTGAGGTTGGACAGGGATCATGGAAGCTATCATTGAACACCAGAAATGTTCATGCCAACTTGAAAGTGGCCATCAGAGCAAAACGTATTTATTTCGTTAGTAATGATTTAGTCATATTATTAATGCCTGCCAAGAACATACTATAGGACCCACATAGGCTGCCAAAATGCCATGCCTACATCAATATGTTTGTCTTGATATTTGAAGCCCAGTAGGGCTTGAGGATGAAATATCCCAGTTTGTGTTGACTTAGTGTTCTCAGTAAAAAAAAATAAAACATAATGCACAGAAGTCTTTTTTGTTGCTGTTGTTCGTTCTGCTCTTCACCTCATTGCACACTTGGTTGTTGCAATGATTTATACTTGTTAGTCAAATTAAATATTTAGTAACAATTTGTGCAAGACAAGCTATGATATGTTAATCCTCTTGAATTGTTTTTGGCAAGAGAACTTGGTTAAGAAGGTCTTTTGAGCAAGGATGGGTTTGAGAAAGCAGCAATTCAGAGGGTATCCTTCATACAGTGGCACGATGGCTCAGCGGTTAAAGACATGAATCTGGAGAACTGACGACCCCTGTTCGAGTCCCAAGCTCCTGACCAGGGTGAGCTCACATTACTTGTCCCGGCTCCTGCCCACCTAAGAGTTTGAAAGCGTGCAAATGCAAGTAGATAAATAGGTACCACTTCAGTGGGAAGGAAATAGGGTTCCACTCAACACCTGATAGCTGAGTCAGGTTGGCCACTTGATCACAGAAATATCTTTGGACAATGGTGGCTAAGAAATGGAAAATAGCCCAGTGTCCTAGAGTCAGATACAACTGGACAGTGGAAATCTTTAACTTTTATTCTTCATA